AAACCGAGGCTCCTCCAGACAAAGAGATGAATGACATCGCCCTTCGGGAGGAACTGGATCTAGTAGAAGAGATCAGAACAGGAGCGGCCCTATGGGAGGCCCCTCTCAAACAAAAAATAGCCATGCACTACAACACCAAGGTCATACGACGAGAGTTCGAGGTCGGCAGCCTTATCTTGAAAAGAAATCACAAAGAATCTCGTGAGTGCAAGCTCGCAACAAATTGGAAAGGTCCTTATCGCGTCTACACGAAAACGGGGACTGAAGCATATTACTTGGAAAACTTACAAGGGAACAACTCGTTCGATCATGGAACACTGAAAAGCTAAAAAAATATTACAGTTAAAAACACTGAGCAGTCAACAAGTTTACTCGACAAGACAAACTAACCCAGGCCCGACCACGCGTGCATGCTTGAGCACAAGCATAATACCCAAAATATTCAGAAGGGGCGAAAAGCTTCGCTCTTATAATGAGCGAACCATCAGCCTGACATGGATAACTTGATCGAGCTCCACAGTCCTCGTGCCGCGACAGTAGATCACCCGGCTCGCGAAGGGAAGTTCATGACGCCGAACCGAGGTCCCTCAAAACAAGACATGAGTTCCGGACCATGCCCGATATTCACCTGGCTATTTGATCAGTGTCCCCACATTGGCAAACATACAAACTAAACGAGCAAATCCCTTTTACAAACTCTTGGCAAAATAAAAGATGTCCCAAGCGGACAAGTTTATCAATAAACATACAAACACAAGTTAAATATTCAAAACAAATAACCACCATGGCCGAAAAACTAAAATAAACGACCACCTGGGCCGCTATTGTGCGAATATTACAACAAAGGAGGCATTTGACCCCTCATCCAAAAGAATAAATTTATGGCCAGAAACCACACTTGTTCGAAAATTACATAAAACAAGCACGAGCCCGAAAACGTATAATTACAACAATACGACACACAGGCCGAAATAAATAAAACAACTAAAAATCATCATTCAGTCTCTTCTTCGACGACATTCGATATCTGGGCAGGACCCCTGGAAGGCTGGGCAACAAACTCTTTGAGATAATCAGGGACCAGAATCTTACCAACGGCCATGTAGTAGTTGACCCCCATGCCTAAAGTGTTGAGTTCAACCCCAGGGTTCAGCGTATAGATCTGCTTCACTGCATTCTCAAAACTCCCCTCAAAGGCAGCCTGGGCATCATCCACCACCAGTTGAAAATGAGAAACAAGCTCGGATCGAGTCTTTAAATATTTTGTGTCCTCCAGATCGTCTTCAGCGGGCATCACCTTGGCGGTCAGGACCACTACCTTCTCCTCGAGATCTTTCTTCTCGAGCAACAGGGTTCTGCGTTCCTTAGAGAGTCTCCCCGATTCTTCCTCGGGCAGCTTCTGAGCCCTTTCCTCCTCGATCCTGGCCTTCTCGCTCGCAACCAGCTTAGCCCAAAGGTTCTTCAACTCGGCCTCCTGGGAGGAACTCCCCTCGGTATAGGCAGCGACCATCTCCAAAATCTGCATTAAACCACCGGCATCCTGCGCCAGCATCACCCTCTTCTCCGGGCGACCCAAACCCTCGAGATGAAGGGATTCGGCCTGAGTAAGGCAAAGAGTTGTGCCCTTAAAGAAAGCCTTCTCCAGCCAACAAGGGGGCAGGTCGTACGTCCCCTTCTCCCCGGCCAGATTGACGCTTACCTCGGCACACGCCCTCTTCGCTTTCGAGGATACAGGGGCGGGAGAGAGATGCAACCGTAACTTGGGCTAAAGACGAGTCGCCCAACCCCAAAGTAGGAACGACCCCTGAGCCAGTCTGAGCATCCTTCTGAGCCTTCCTCGCTCTAGAAGCAAGAGTATTTCCTATGCGCTCTTTGGCGGGATTCATACTATCGGTAAAACAAATAAAAAGAAGCATAGTTAGCAAATGAGGACTCAGAAAAGCGGCAACTGCATACAACTATTCAAAACATAAATACCCAAATACTTGACGGGATCCTCGCTACAGAGGAGATCTTTGACGGTTATAAGGCCTAGCTCATAGACAACCTCCCCCTTCTTGTCGATCACCGACCTGCCTCCTTGACCCACTCGCTGGACACAAGGGGTCCGGGCCACAAAAGCTGTCAAGATGACGAAGCTCTCCTGGTCCTTGACTCCGAGCTCCCCCTCCCTCCAGACATAAGAACCCAATTCCTTATCAAAGTGCTTCCTCGTCCACTGGAACAGGAACTTGTAAACCAGTTTTACCACAAGATCTCCTAGCTCGTTCAAACGGGGAGTACCATCCTCGTTATGTGACGATACGGTCCTAAAAACATTCAGCATTTCCTTGCTTGAAGAAGACTGCACCAGTATATATTTGTCCTTAAAGTGACAAATGGACTCCAGATAGGCTTTAAACAACTTCTCGTTGCCTTACTTCAAGGCAATCCATCCCCATTTACCATCGATCTTGCTCCTGTGGAGGTGAAAGCAATAGAAGAACAAGGGAATGGTGGCCCCTATCTTCAAGTAATCACAAACAATCTTGAATGCTCGCATGAATGCAATGCCGTTCAGATGAAGTTGCGAAGGAGCCAGTCGCAGATGCCTGAATATGGACACCTTGAAATACGAGAATAGGAGCTGAAGACCCATTTCCTGGAACACGATGTCGTACATGGGAATCTACCTTCTGTCGTATTTCGAGTAGATTCTGCTCTCTTTCTCGGGAATATATAGCAACCACTCTCCCCAGTTTCCTTCCTCGTGAGTGTACACCTCAGTAAAAAAATCATCCGGATGCTCGAAAAAATAAGAGGGCCAGCCCCAAGGATCATTCACGACACAAGCCCGTAGATCCTCTTCATCACCGGGGAGAAACAAGCAACCTTGATCAGCGGAGGCCATCTCCACATCTCCTTCCCTCGCTTGCTATCCCGGCTGATTCAGCTCATCCATGGAAATCTCCAAGATGCTCGACGAGCTACTCATCTCATCTAAAGAACTTCTTGAAGATCCAGAATACTCGCTCGAGAGATCAACCCGGGCATTGTCAGCCATAGTACCTGAAAAGCAAAGGATGAAGATGAGTTTGACATCAATGCAAGAACACCCTTTCCACCACTAATCAAGTGAAAGGGCACTGGGAAACGAGGATCGTGTCCTCGACCAGAACCCTCACTAAGGAGAATAAACAGACAGAAGCTCGAGAAAGAGCCCTAGGCCCTAAAGGACCGTCTATGGTGCATCATGAAATGCCCGAGGAGGATCCACGACGGCTCTGGCGATTCTAAACTACAAAACCACCACGTGCCACCAACGCTCCCCAAGGGCATCCTAATAGGCATAATGCTAAACCCTAGCTGCATGTATTTCTAGGAAGAAAATCGCGAAAACCTGAACTACTGAAAGCAAATGACAATGAAAACTGAAATCTTACCAGTTGAAGAAGAAGATCAGTTGGAAGTAGCAACAATGAGCAACGAATCTCAAGAAACAACGGTGGTCGACAGTCGAGCGATTATGAGCAGTTGGGAGAGAAAACGAAAAACACTAAACTCCTTACTCCTCTCGTATTTATAGCTGGGACCATCCGCGCGTGTGAGACACATGCTTGGGAAACCCTAGGGTCCTCACCATTACACCCTAATCCCTAGGACATCATTGTTCCGCTTTGCCAGCACGCTACCCTAAATATGCTACCTCTTTAAGTTCAAGGCTCATAACAACCAACTTCTCATCTCCCCATGAGAAAGGCACAACGGGCGGCACTCATTCTCCATGTAAGACGCGCCTCACTCCACGAGAAAGTGTTAAAGTCATCACTCATGTGCCCAGAATTAACGACTTTGGGGGATACTATTTTGGATTGGCCTGACAGCTAGAATGGGCCCAGTCTAACCCTTTCTTTCGGTAAGGTCCATACGTTCATGGCCCGAACCTCCCCCGCTCTCTGTCGGGAAATATCGACCCTTTTCCCTCCTAAGCCGGTACTGACCTAAGGTGATCGACGAGCACCTCTCGGTCTGCTCGACCTCGAGTCATACAGACGACCAAGAACCGACCAGACCGCTGCCCGTAACTTACCCCCTCCTCGGAACCAACGGCTAGTTACAGACACATCTTCCCGTTTTGACCAAGTCCTAATAGTTACCTATTTTTGTGGACCCGCATATCTAGGCCCAAAAACAGGAACCAATGGCCATGCGTCAGCGGCATTATATATACCCTCACACTTGTGAGGTAAGGTATCTAATATTGACTATTCACCATCAATACCTTAACACTTTGCTTGTATCTCATTGTTCCCACTCTTACTTGATTGTCAAAGTGCCTTGCAATATATATATATGTGTATGTGTGTGTGTGTGTGTGATTGAGTGCATTTAATCTTAAAGAGGGGGGTAAAGTATTTGGTGAGAGCATATGCCTTATGTGTGTGTGTGTGTGTGTGTGTGTGTGTGTGTGTGTGTGTGTGTGTGTGTGTGTGACAATTACTTCATAGATCTTTTAAGTTATTTTATTGTAATAGGTCGGTCCTTTAAGTTATTTTATTGTAACAAGGTGTTCCTTTAAGTTTTTTTTCTTCTATAAGTGAGTCCTTTAAGTTAATTAATGTGTGCACCATTGACCTTTTTTACCCTTTTTTTCAATCTTAGATTAAATCAATCATACAAAATACACAGAGTTGCAACAAAATACATATATTAACATCCTAAATACATAAAGTCAGATCCAAAAAATATAAAATCAGATCCTAAAGTCAGATCGTCGTCTCTGCCCCCAAGTTGCTACAAAAAAACTTAAAGAACCAACCTATTACAATAAAATAACTTAAAAGATCCATAGAGTAATTGTGACATATATATATATATATATATATATATATATATATATATATATATATATATATATATATATATATATATATATATATATATATATATATATATATATATATATATATATATATATATATATATATATATATTATGTGTTAGTACATTTTACAGATAACATGGATAAAATAAGTAAGTTGAAAATGTTCTATTGCATGGCAGATGCCCAAGGTATTCAGAAAGAGCTGAACACTAGAAATTATTCTATTACCCTCACTCATTCTCTGACCCCTTCTCCTACCCCAGTTGTGGAAGCTTCGACTTCTGCGCTCGAGGTGAATCATCTTGCTGATGTTGCTTTCACTTTGACAGTGAAGGAAGAAACCTCACCTCCGATTTCATCAAAGAGGGCCAGTGGGAAGGAACAACAATCCTCTTAGATTGACTGTTCTCTGAAATGTACTCGGGTCTCTGACTAAGGCGCTTATGGGAAGGCGAATCTTTTTATAAATATATACGACATCTTCTCTTATTGGCTTCCATGCACTCTTGAGGAGGTTGTTTTTATTGTATTGATATTAGATTTATCCTTCCTCCAGAATCTTCCTGAGGGGATAAGATGGAAATGGCTTCCGAGATTGCTCACAACATGTTAAAAGCTGCTTATATCTTTTCTCTTGTCTCTATTAGGAAGGGTGATGTATTATCCCCATTTAACACCTTCAAGGAAAAATATATTTAGAATAAAAAAATAGAAGCTATGGAATTGAAGTGCACTAAACTTTAGAAGGAACTCCTTGTTTTGAACGAGGAAGTTAACTTTGAAATTTTTTTGCATGAGGCAGCAAAAGTACACGACTCTCTTTTTATACAGGCTGCTCGTGTGACTAAATTAAATGGCTCTCTCTGAGATGCAGAGACACGATACAAGGTTGCTTATGACTCTCTTGAGGAGAAGGTTCGTCAAGTTAAGGAGCATTAGAAAGATCTAGAGGCCTTGAAAGTTATCTAGGATGAAATGGCCGGTATAAGGCGAGCTCTCCATATTCTTCTTTAGCGGATTATGCAATACATTTTTGGATTATGCGAGTGAGTGGTGGAGTTAGTGAAGATGTTCTGTCTGGGTGCAATAATTTCTACTAAGGCTCTGGACCCATTTAGATCTACTTCTGGGGTGAATATGGGGGTGGTCATAATGCCTCAACTTCAAATTCTCCGACTTGATTTTCTTTTTACTTGTATCATTTACTTCTAAAAAGTTCCCAGACTATCGTGTCCAAGGTGTAACTATTTGGGATATTTATTTGAAATATTTACCTTGGTTGTTTTGAATATTGTTAGATTTAGAGCCTTGTACCGACTTTTTATTTATCAATATTGTTCCATGAATAATTGTAGATCTGGGTCATGCTTTCATCCTGTGAAGTCTTCATTTTACTTTTAGAATTTAGGTCGAACGGGCGATTTTCATCAGCGATGGTGAAATATATTTTTTGTATGTGAGAGTCATTATAACTTTGCTTTACAAAAGAAGCTGCATGTTTGATTATAATAAGATGGCAGATACACCTCTGAAACTTTCCTTGTTCTTTTGCGATTCAGTGTATTGAATGACACTGGCTATCTTTTAGGTTGCAACATTTGCTTGATGTCTTTATTTGTTATATAATAGAGTGTTCAGTTTATATATCATATTTGACGCTTTGTTTGTGCTTCTCGGGCGATGTTTGTAATCGTAAAAATAAAGGTAATGCAATCATACTTTAAAGTACGCTTCGCGTCATAGAGGACCGTTAAACAGCCAAGGGTAGGATATTCATCCCTGCCCCCAAGTTTTGGCTCGGATCAAGGTGGACGTATCTGGGATCTACCACCTATGTCCAATGATTGGCTAGATCCGAGTGGGATGGGGTGGGTACGCCAGTGTGATCGGTGGGAATGAGAACTGACTGTTTTGGAATGCTGGTTCGCGTTTTGTGTTTGTTTTCGCAAAGTGTCGCGGTAAGCAAGAGTCGCCACCGTCTTTTATTTTATCCAACAAGGAAAGGACAAAAGCACAGAAAAATTCCTTTTCGAGATGTTTCTCGGGTTCGGGAGGTAGATTATAGAAAGGGAAGGTGTTAGCACCCTTTCTATTTGTGGTTATCCATGGGCTCTTAGGTACTTGCTCATTATGTTTTCAAAAGTTTGCTTTTCTTTGTGATTGTGGGTTTTGAAAAGAGTTTTGTTTTTGAAGAAAGTGTAAGTGCGAAAAGTTTGTTTTGTTTTTAAAATGAGCAAGTACTTAAGAACCTCTACCTACTCAAAAAGGAATTAAACTGTGCAAATGTCCTTTAGACAGTGCTATCCCACTATTGAGGAGTAGGTAGCACCGTCGTTGGAGTTTTCGGGTCAATTCGATTTAAGGGACGCGTGGTCACTAAAGCAATGTTAGGATACTTTAGCGGTAACCCTAATGTCTTAGATCATTTTTATCGAGGCAACCATTCCGAGGCAACTTTGATCTTTGGACGGGAGGGCGACCTCTAAGACTTCATATACTCAATGACCACGTTCGAGGCAACCAAGTGAGGTGTACCCTAGGAGTGGCATGTGCAAGTGTGTCTATTTTCAGTTATATTATCCTTGCATGTCATGGTGAGCTACTGTTGATTTTAAGTTAAGAGTTAATCTTGTCATGCATAGCCTAGTTAGCATACATCTAAACAGTTAATATATGTACAGGAATTTAAAGTGCAGGAATTGTAAATCCTACGCTATTACAAGGCTTCGGGGAGGGGGATTATTTACATGTCCAAAAATTAGGGGAATAAAAGCAGTAAAGCGTAAAAGTCTTAGTTAAGCTATTACAAACCAATAGGCAGTTACAATAGAATAAACGCGCGTGAATCTGAAAATAACCTCTAAAAATCCTAAGAATAAAATATTTTTGTTGTTTTATTTTATTTTGGGAAAATGATCTAAATCTATTTAATTTTAGTTGAGAAAATGTTAAGATAATTAAGAGATTAATTAACAAAGTTAATTTTAATAGAAAAAACTAGCCTAATGTTTTTTTTGGTTTTTTTTATTTTAATGTTAATTAAAACAAGATAAAAAGATGTCAATGAAAACAAAAATAAAATACAAGGGGGGATCCTTCGATCCAGGGAAAAAAAGGAGTTTCGACCCAGGGAGGGAATGGAAGCTTCGATCCAGACAGGGTCATGGCTCTTTCGATTGGGCCAGGAAGTGGGCATGAACAACCTTCGATCCAGGGAAGGGAATTGTCTTTTGATCATGGAGGTCATGGATTTTGATCCAGGAATGAGATGCCTCCTTTGATCCAGCATGCTAGTGGGTTTGATCCAGAGAAGGTGTCTCCTTCGATCTGGGATGTTATACCTGTAACAGTATGTTAGCGAAATAAAATGCAGGGGGCCTGGGTATTGAACCCCAGGCCCTTCAATCCTGCACTTGTTGGGTCTCTTCAGGATAAATCTGCTGCAAATGTTAGCAAACGAAGAACATGACCTGGGTGCCAAACCCAGGCCTCTTGATCCTGTCTAGGATAGAAAATTGAAGGTAACAACCAGTATGAATGTATTATGCAAATATGAGGTTGGATAGTTTTACCCTTTCTTACCAGCAGATTGGACTTTTAATTTGGGCGCTTCCTGGATGTAGGCACCTTCGATCTGGGCACTTCCTGGATGTGGTGATCTTTTGTTGAAGGGTTGCTTTGGCCTGGATCACCTCTAAAAATGTTGACAACTTTTGGCAGCGTAACTCCAATGTTCCTGTTGTGTGTTTTTTCGTGTTGTTCTGCAGAGTTTTTTTTGTTATGATTTTCGTGTCCTGGATATGTATGTTGGCCTCTGTATTTATAGGGGTGTGAGGGTGCAGTAATGGCAAGAGACAGCCATTAAACAGGCCATTAAATGCCATGAGACAAGAAACGGACACATTAAATAATTTCCTTTTTTGAAACATTTGTGTCTCTTGAATGAACCTGGACGCTTTTGACTTGAGTGCCCTCTTGATGACCTCCTTCGAATGGCCCTTGCCCAAAGATCAATCGAAGGGTGCTGTTTCATGCTAATCGAAGGACATGGCTAACATGCCTGTCGAAGCTGCCTTGACACAATGCTAAATCGAAGGATCCCTTGGCATGCCAATCGAAGGCCTGGCCCAGGGTGCCAATCGAAAGGCTCATTCGGAATCCCAATCGAAGGGTCTTTCAGAATGCAAATCGAAGTGCTTGTCCATAATGCCAATTGAAGTGTCCCTTCAAGGTACCAATCGAAGGGCCTTTCAGAATGCCAATCGAAGGCCTTGACATAATGCCAATCGAAGTGCTTGTCCATAATGCCAATCGAAGTGTCCCTTTAAGGTACCAATCGAAGTGCTCCTTCAGAATGCCAATCGAAATGCTCCTTCAGAATGCCAATCGAAGGGTCTTTCAGAATTCCAATCGAAAGATACTTAAAGCACCACTCAAAAATTTTCTTTTTCCTTAGGCAAGGGTTTGTGATCAACCATGCAGGGGGGAGACTTTGGAAAACATGAGAGGGCAAATTTTAGGGTGAAACAGTTGCCCCTATTCAATTTTCTTAAACCTGAGGATATAGATTGGCTTTCTAGCCTTTCGTGATCCGAAGGTGGAAGATAATTGAACACTAGAGTGCCCAGAAATTTGCACTCGCATGGTGAAGTATCAGCATCGTGATGTCGGGAATGGGCTTACAGATGCCATTTGGAGATTGTTGGTAGGAGGATAGGCTTATAGATGCCATCTGCAGGAGTGATTGTTGGATTTTATTTGAATGAGTGACAGAATTACATCTGAATTTGGATCGTATCTGGACTGTTATTTGAAGGTCTCTAACTGCCTGTCATTAACTGGAAGAAATAAATCTAACTAGAGGAGGTCTTTTTTGATGTGTGATGAAGGAATCTGAGACGATTGCTACTCCAAACAGATGATGAAGGAATCTTGTATGATTACTACCTCAGCAGGATGATGAAGGAATCTTGGATGACTTCTACCTCAGCAGGATGATGACGGAATCTTGGATGATTACTACCTCAGCAGAATGATGAAGGAATCTTGGACGATTACTACCTCAGCAGGGTGATGAAGGAATCTTGGACGATTACTACCTCAGCAGGGTGATGAAGGAATCTTAGACGATTACTACCTCAGTAGGATGATGAAGGAATCTTGGACGACTTCTACCTCAGCAGAATGATGAAGGAATCTTGGATGATTACTACCTCAGCAGGATGATGAAGGAATCTTGGACGATTACTACCTCAGCAGGATGATGAAGGAATCTTGGACGATTACTACCTCAGTAGGATGATGAAGGAATCTTGGACGATTACTACCTCAGCAGGATGATGAAGGAATCTTGGACGATTACTACCTCAGCAGGACGATGAAGGAATCTTGGACGAC